CATGGGGAAAATAATCATGTTAGATTTTTACATTTCAATTGGATGACAGAACTCAAATCTATTTCTTTAAGAAAAGGGCGACAATGCATATGCAAAAAACTGTTACTGAAACAGGTTGAAATTCAAAAACAAGCATAGCTTTTGAAAAAAATCTTGTTTCTCAAGTGCCAAAATACTTATTATTGAAATCACAGGTAAATCTAATCTATTATATTTGAGAGCTTTGTAACAGTACACTTGGAAGACTGACAGTATCGATTGAAATTCAGGTAATTTTTTTAATCAAAATTCACAAGCTTCAAAAATGTGACAAAGTTATATATTAGTCTGTGGATGTATTTTCTAGAGTAGATGATGACAGATCGGGGTATATACTGTAAAGAAAAGTTTAAATATTTCTTTGTGTGTGTACATGTTTTTATCTTGATGAAAACCTCTCAAGCTGCTTCGATGCAAAATATGTTTCTGTATCTGTTCAGTCTATAGAGCTGTGAGAAGGTTGAAGATGAAGCAAGGGAAAGAAAACAGCAACGGAGCACACACAAACATGAGGCCATCTGGCTTCTTGCCAATATACATGACATTCAATTATTTTAGTGCTTTTTCATGAGAGTTTTCCCTCCATCAGCTTCCCCTCCCTTCTCCAGGCCCTTGCTTTTCTACTTTTGGCATAGTTCATCTGATTCAACACGCATTTTTCCCGGCTTTACTCACTCATATGCCTCAAACTCACCCGCAAAAAGAAAGTGCTAAGATTAAAATTCTTGCAATCCTCTCTTGACATTTACAGTATTACTGTATAAGTGTGACATTTCTTTCAATAAATTGAGGAAGGAACTAGAGTGGTCCATGCATTGCTTCAGCTGCTGCTTTGATGTATGAACTCCAAATATTTTTCATTTCCCAAAATACATTCTCATGGGGGAGGGGGGCATTAAAAGCAGCTTTTAGACCTTGGAAATTTTTTCAAAGTATAATAACTTATATTGACAGACAGGCAATCTCTTATCTGAGTTTGACTTATCTGAACTTACCTTTGTGGGTGTATGTGTGGGAGGAGTTAAATAATCTTTTCAGAGGACTTTTCAGCTAGTTCAATATATTCAATTACTTTATTTCTAGACTTTAAAGGGAGCTAAATAAAGAAAGCTTTATCAAAACACCCCAAATCTCTATATTTGGGGAGTTGGCACCAACAGAAACAGCAACAACCACAAACTGGTTCAGAGCATCAGAGTCACCTCACGAAATAGTCTTTCCACTGTGTCAGCATCTGATGGTGCCAGGGGGATGAAGGGAAAACAGCGTGTCCAAGAGGTGGAGACTCAAATCTGCAATAGGTCTTACTAACTCTCATCCCTTTGCTTCCTGGACTCTGCACATTCGTTTGCTGCACTTCATTCCCATCAAGGAGATGTGAAGAAACATCAACAGCTACATAGCACCCAGAGGTTAGAAAGTGCTGGAACCCCAAGACGTCCAAAATTTTGTTAGGCTTTAAAAGAAATTGATGGCTCCCAATTCTGTCCGTCTCCAGCTCCCACACTCACTCACCATCTCCTACAAATGTTGCCCATCAGTAAAGCAAAGGAGAAAGGGAGGCACAGCAGCTTTACTCCTAGTAGACTTCGTGATTGACATGAAAGATGAGGAGCAGAATGCTGGGATTAGAACCTGGGTTCTTTTATGGAAAGGGAGGAACAATACTCTCAGCGATGAAATAGGAAGGTGGAGCAAAACAGACAGTGGTAGCCTGAGGGTGACGGGCTGAGCCTGCGGAAATAAAATTCCAGTTAGGACTTCCCTTAATGAACTGGGTCTTACGTGCCAGCTGATGGCTCCTGGGGCACAGACCAAGGTGACTATTTGGAGTTGGGGAGGGCTGAGGTAAAGAATGAGGGTTAGGAGAAAGTTTTGAAAGCCTTCTGAGGAGGAAACAGTCATGCCATGCCAGTCTGGACAGAGTAGCTGAAAATATTTATCAACGCACTGGTATGGTCATTTTCCAAGACGGTTAGAGTCAAAGCATCAGGTAGAAAAAGCCCATGTATGTCTTAAGGAAGGTGAGACAGCATCTCATCTGATTTCTGCTCTCTTCTTGTGCCCTCCAGAAATCATTTAATTTTTGTTGTTGTAACTAGTGTTATTTAAAATTTATTATTAATGCACCATTGGCTAGAGCTGTATTATTACGCTAAACTCCATCTCAATCTCTCAAAACCCATTAAATGAAGCTCTTGGCAACCAGAGACCCAGATTCTTGCCAAAAACTGCAGATTAAGCATTCCTTATGGGAGTTTGCCATTAGCTGTTCTTCTGTTATAGGCACATGTGGTTACATATCCCCAAACACACAGGATTCTGTGTAATAGATTTGCATTTCCAGGAGGTTCTGGGGATGTTAAGTGGGGTTGGTGACACCTGGCACCCATTCTCCCAACTACCATCATCAAAAGTGGGTCTGAGGTAAGGAGTGGAAAGTACTTGTTAGGCAGCTGTCCTTCCTGGCTTCCCTGTAGTTTCCCCTAGATGCTGAACCTTTATTGGTATTCAAGTACTCGAGAGCTTGCATCATATGTCTTTCATTTATAAGACACCGAATGTTTTTCAGGGAATTTAGAGCTTGTAAGGCGCATATTTATAAACACGCTGACAGAGCTCCAGGACATAACTAAGTTTATAGCTAGGAGTTGTTTGTGTATGTCCTCAAGTCTGCAAGGCGTTGTTGCTGCTGTGAGTTTTTAGGGGCAAATAACCCACTGAATGGTCATTTCTCTTATCCTCCCTGCGTTTATTAGAGAAATCAGACTTTCAAAATATCTGAAGGCAAGGTACAGAGCGGGGATAGGGAATGAAAAAGCATGAACCCACACAGGAGAGCGTAGATAAATCTACACTCAACTTTCCCGCAGGGGCGGCCCAGGAACCGGCTAGAAAGTGCCCAGGAAGCTCATGGCTGCTTCTCCTTAAGCCAGGTCGGGGTGCCACAGCCTTTACTGGGCTTTTTGGGGGATGTCAGGTTTGGAGGTCCCGAGCCTAGATGCAATCTGGCTTTCTCCCAGAGCAAAGTCCCAGAAAGCTTTTCTTTGACTGCGCCCCCTTGAGATTTAACAGTTCGTTGTTGGGGCCGATGCAGTGCTCAGGAGACAGTAATAATAATACTACAAAAGCAACATAATTACAGGAATAGTGTCAACTCGCCAGAACCTGACTGCGCGCTCAAGAGCACTCTGAGCGCGGCGCCACGAGAACTGATTGCCTGTGTCCCAACTCGGGGGAAGTAACTCAGGACAAGCGAGAGGCTGCTTCGAGCCGCCAGCTCGGCTCCCGCCAGGCCCAACCTGGGTATTTTGGGCCGGCCTGGCTTCTGGGGTAGCGCCTAAGAGCAGCTCTGAGGTGCGCAGCGCTCCATGATTTTTCCTTCCTAGCTGCGGCCTGTCCTGGCCTCGAAGAGGGCCTGCCAACGAGTCTTAGGTCAGCCAAGACCCCGAAGAGGGTGGACATTTCCGAACGCATTCGGATATCCGGATGCCCTCAACAGTTGGGCCACGGCCTTCCGACGTTCCGAAGGTCGCGGCGCGGTTGCTAGGCTGGCCCGGGGAAACGTGACGGGCACACCAGGACCTGTGAGACAATCCCTGGAGCAGAGGCTTCTCTTGGAAGGTGCAAGCTACAGCCCCCAACTTGTGGGAGCATTTCACCAAATTTGCCAGTTTTAGAGGCCTCTTGCAAATGGCTGCCTTTTCGTGCCCAAGGCCCTCAATGCATTTCCCTCCGGCGCCGCGGGCTCCACGGAAGCCCGAGTCAGTCCAAAGCCAAGCAGGGATCCTCAGTCCTGCAGCGCTGCCCGGCCCTCCCACAGCGGCCAGCTCCCGACGCTCCTCACCATCCCCTCGGGCGGGAACGGAGATCGGGACCTGCCCGCTGCTGGGACACCGCCTCTCCCCAGCGCCTAGCTCCGCGCGCGTCTCTCGCTCTCTGCACGCGCTCTTTAAAGTAACTCCATCGCGTTTCTTTAAGAGTCAAAATAATAGTGTTAAAAACAACGCGGAAGGCCGTCCTCTTTCACAAACACCTTTGTGTAACGAGCCCCCCTCTGGCCTATACTGAGGACCCCTTGGAGGCAGTTTTCTTATCGAGTTTTTTAAAAATAATCTGGATCTAATGATAAAATCGTGGACCAAGAGGAAGGCTGGAAAGGAAAGTGTAGGAATAGGATGGTATTGGTATAACGGTTTCCATGCCTTTTGCTCGCCTCCCCTCTCCCATCCAACGCCACCAAGTCCACCCACCGCCGCATTCCAGCAAGAAAGGAAAGGCCATCGTCTCCAAAGCGCCCAGAGCGCCGGGTCGCAGAGCTGCTCCGGGTTAGAAGCAGAAGCGGCCCCTCTACCACTGCCATACCAGTTAATAGCTGTCAATGTGTCTGGTTTATCGGGCTTCGGATTAATGCGGATCTTCCACATAAAGGATTTACGGTGAAATAAAAGCCCTTCAGAGCAATACTTCCTTTCAAGTTCTTAAGACGCCTCTAAATTTTTCTGGTAGTAAGTGGCCGGCGTGGGGGCGGGGTGGGGGCCGGGGGCGGGCTGGCCGGGAGGGCGCAGAGAGTGGGGAGTGGAGGGTTAACTGCTTTGCGATCTCACCAAGCTCTTCCGAAATGCCAGTCCACTGTCGCTGCGACAATGTTTCTGGGTGTCGGGACCTCGTCCTTCCTGGCATTTGTCTGAAATGGAGCTGTCTGTCTAACCTAGGCCTGGACGCGCCCTGCCCGGGGAAGTGGGGGAAGGTGGGGTGGGGTGGGGGCGGAGGGGGACCCGGGGTGGAGTTAGTAGCCTGCCTATTTTCATATTCATTAGAGCTGGGAGGTTGCCCGAGGAGCCCAGCTGAGTTTCAAGATATAAAAGCAACTTCGGGTGCCCCCTTTCCAGCCGGGACGTATTAAAGGGCTGGGAGCGGGGCAAGCTCCCCGCACCGCAGCCCTCGCTTCCCCTTCCCTCCTCTCGGCCCTCCCTCCTCCCGCCCACCCTTTCCCTCCCCCAGTGTCTCCAGCCTCCGCGCCCCAGGAGCTCCGCGACAGCTACCAGGAGTATGGAGTTTCTGAGCGAGAAGTTTGCCTTGAAGAGCCCACCGAGTAAAAACAGTGACTTTTACATGGGCGCAGGAGGCGCGTTGGAGCATGTTATGCAGACACTGGACAATGAGTCCTTTTACAGCAAAGCATCGGCAGGCAAATGCGTGCAGGCCTTCGGGCCCCTGCCCCGCGCGGAGCATCACGTGCGCCTGGAAAGGACCTCACCCTGTCAGGACAGCAGCGGTGAGTCGCCAGCCCCTGCTCGCGTCGCGGGAGCCGGTCTGCAAATCGGAAGTGCGGGGAGAGGCAGGCAGAGAGGAAGGCAGGTAGGAAGGCAGGGAGGGAAGAAAGAAAGGGCGAGCGAGAAGCCGGAGGGCGGAGGAAGGCAGAGGAACAGTGCCCGCTGGAGGAAGCAGTGCTGTGGCCAGCGGCGACTTCGCAGGGCCAAGGGAGGGCTCGGCCCCGCGTTGCCTCCCCGCGGTTCTCTTTCGGCCGCCCAGCCTTGTCCCCCACGGTCCCGGCGTCCCTCCATCCAGCATCCAGGCGTAAACTGATAGGGCGGTAAATAAAGCGTAATTGAGTCAAGACAGGGCGCTTCCTCTGCGAGCTCGCCGCGCTGCCCCCGGCAGCAGGAGCTGAAATCGATCACAGCTCGTTAGAAGACGTCACTGTCGTCACGAATAAGAAAGCTCTGAACGCCTGTAGATGAAAAACCTTTGTGATTTTCCGAGGCGTAGTGATAGGCTTCTTTGTGAAGGTGGAGGGCTGCGAGATTAGCTCGGGCGAATTTGTGATTTCTTTGGGTTTGCAATACAAGACATAAATTTGGAACACCAGTCACTTTAAATGGCTTCGGGCAAAGAACCCCGGCGTGTTCCCTCACCCCGGACTTCTGCGTTGTCTGTTTTTCTGGCTTCACATTAAAAGCCACCTCAGAAGCCGTTCGGAATGCTCCTGGGTGAAATCTCCAACTTTGAATGGCCAAGTATCTCAAAGTCAAAATGTTATCAAAACAAACCATCTTTTCTATCTTGTAACCCAATACAAACCTATTTTTTTTCAGATCGCGACAGCTAAAGCAAGTTTACAATTCCAAGAGGACTTTTCCTTATCATTGTATATATTCCACAGTTAAGCTGTAAGGAGCGGGTTACTTTAAAATAACAAACGAATTAAGTGTGAAATATTTACAACAAGCCTCCTGCCCCCTATTTTAACGGAGGTTGAAAATCTGACAAGGCACTGGCTCATAGCAGCTCATTTTCTAAATACTACTTTGTACATAGTAAGCTGGGGGAAAAAAACCTGATATATTTTATTTATTCAGAGTTAACAAGTTACCTTTGACTTGCAATATTAAACCAAAAATAAAGACGAAAACGACAGAGAAAGTCAGTTAAACCGGTTCAGTCATTTATTTGGAAAGACGCAAACACATACTTTTAATTTTTAATACACTAACTGTTTGGCTTTCTGGATGTATTTTTAGACTTCAGTGTCTTTAGATCTTTGGGATTCTTAGATGCATACGTAAAGTTATTTGAATGGACAGGATTTTTCTAAAAAAAAAAATTATTCTCTAATGTCCTGTGTTGACTGCTGGATAGACCTCAATCATAATATTTTAAACCGTCGGGAATTCAAAATAAGAAAAGAAATAGGTGGTTTTTGATACTTTATCAACTTTTAAATGAATATCACTCTACCAGGACTAGTTACAATATGAAAGAAGTAAGATGAATCTAGGCAGCAGTCCGCTAAATTTTGGAGTTCCTGTCTTCCGAGATGCCCGTAGTTTTGCGGACTGCTTCCCCTCCCCCCTCCCTAATTACCGAAGTTCCCCCATTTAACTCTGCCCACGGAGACAAAACCGTATTGTTAATCAGTGGTGACTCTTCTTTATATTTAGTTTTACTTCACAACTTGCACAAAAACTACTCAGCATTTCAGTTATATAGGTATGAAATTTCAATATTTGTATAATGATTAAAGCAGTTGTAAAAATATGTTTTGGCAGATTATTTAAAAACAGACAAAAATGAAAAAAGTATGACAGTTGATTGGAAAATATTGTTCTGGCTGGGTTGACTATCCTTATTTTTTAATGCCTCCCATTTTATTACGTGCATTAAGTGTGTGTGTGTGTGTGTGTGTGTGTGGCACCACATGATATATTTTTGTTTTATATCATACCTCAAGCATGCAATCAAATCTGGAGGAAATCACTGGAATTAAAACATCCCTAAACAGAATGCCAGATGATATTCATTGTAATCTGTTAATAGGTGTTTTAACTTCTGTGCTTTCCTAGAGAAGAATAAAGCTCTCTGTGGTAAAATATATTTTATAAATTAAGAATAAATATGACACATAGAAAGAGCTGCAAATAAATTTTTAAGCTGAAGAAGTCTGTCTTTTTTTGTATAGGAAACACTTTCAGAAACTGATATAAAATTCATTTTGAAATTTGGATATCTTTTTGAAAAAATTAAATGCAGTTGAAATGTCAAAAATATAGTAGAAACAATATTATGTCAGAAATTTATACATTTTGCATAGAGGAGGAAGATAACTTGGGGGAAGAGTTTGGATTTTGGTTTACAGATATTATTTAAAATTGAAATTCTTTCTTGGGTCGTGTAAGTAGGTTAATTTTGTCTGCACTGAATGAATAAATGTATTACTTATAATAAATTTGGTTCAGTTTTTAAAAAAATTATGCTCTCTTAGGTTTTTCTAATCTAGAGCATCTTTTAATTTGACTACCTTAATTTAATTATAAGTTAGGTGCATAAACATTGCTTTAGCCCTGTAGAACTGTGAATTTTGGCAAATTGCATGAGTTTCATCTAGGCATTTTTTAAAAGGCCTTAAACCTGCTCAAAGTGGATTAATAATTGTACATAATGTGATGATTTCATTAATACTGGCATAATAAATCATTAGCAGACTGCTTTCCTGATGCTCTAAATTACTTCAACTGAATTCCTTCATCAAAATGCTTCACAATGCTGAGAACTGTTGTTTTCTTCCTGGGCACAGTGAACTATGGGATCACTAAAGTAGAAGGACAGCCTCTTCACACAGAACTAAACAGAGCAATGGACAACTGCAACAGTCTCCGGATGTCTCCCGTGAAAGGGATGCAAGAGAAGGGAGAACTGGATGAACTTGGGGATAAATGTGACAGCAATGTATCCAGCAGTAAGAAGCGGAGACACCGAACCACCTTCACCAGCTTGCAGCTGGAGGAGCTGGAGAAGGTCTTTCAGAAAACCCATTATCCAGATGTGTACGTCAGAGAACAGCTTGCTCTGAGGACAGAGCTCACTGAGGCTAGGGTCCAGGTAGGAGCCGTAGGAGGGCCTTGGGTGGGGAGCTGGGTAGGCGGTGGGAGGACAGAATAATTCAGCAGTTGCATTTCGCTTTAAAGGAACTATTTGAAGATGTAGAACACTCTAATGTTTACATGTAGGTCTACTAAAATTTCTTTTTACTTGCAAAGAATTTAACAATCCACATAACAGGAAACAAAAGAATACTTCAGTTATTATATGGGCATTAAAAACCATGGATTATTTAAAAAGAACAGATATCTTAACATAGCTCTGATTTCAAAAATTAATTTTAAAGTGCAAAAACAGAATCATAGTTATCTATTTAATAAGCATGTATTTTGTTTTTCTATTTTATCAGCTATTGAGGATGTTTTAAAGGTTATATAGTAGGTATTGGTAAGCTTTTTTAAAAAAATAATAGCTTGTAAATCTATAATTTTATTGAAGTTAAAGTAGTACTAAAATAAAGAAAAAAAATGAAACAATCTCACAAATTCCCAATTGTTATGTGTATGAAATCCATTTTTACTGTATTTAATTAAAGAAAGGTCATAAAACTTGCTTACAGTTTTCTAACGTTAGTAGTTGCTGGTGGTGTTGTTCCATTTCAATACTTTAATTCTAGATAACTTACATGGTTTTTGCAAAGACAATAGAAATAATGACCTTAATAATAGTCACTCAACTTTGGATGATTTAATATACTAAATTTTTAATCATTTGAGAAGGAAAAATTATGGTGGGTAAAATTCCACCCCTTAGGCATATTTTATTTTTATTATTGTTGGTCTTCTTACACTACCTTCTATTAGGTTCCAAATACAGTAATTCAGGAGAATGGTTTTTTTCTTTGGCATGTCTTCATTACTCTAAATAAGAAAATATTGAATTTTGCAGTTCCCATGTACCACTAGAATAGAGAAATGAATGAGTGAAAAAAATTTGTTCTTAGTGGGGTAATAATAGTATTTCTTCTGAAGATTAAGCCATTGTAAGGCCTTCACATCATTAAACACAACATCTGGTGGTGCAGGAATAACAAGCAGCAGGTTTTCTCTTTAGTTGTGGAGGCAAATGGTTACTTTATCATAGTTCAGGAAGTAAATATATAGAAAGTTGATGCTAACAGAAAATTTTAGAATTGTCAAGTGTTACCACAAGTCCTGCATGTGTTCTTTTTTGTTTTGTGTTCATATATTTAAATTGGTTATGCTTGTAACCATACAGAAATATGTTTGCCTACAGATCCATCAGCTGTGCAAAATGCATGTTTTCCCCTTAACATTTCATCAAGTCCCGATTAATTTTTGTCTAAGAACATGCACAGAGAGCCAACCTGAACCTAATTTACTCAGGTTAATTTTCTTTCCTGCTTTTCACATTGGAGTGGTAATTGGCATCCATTTTAAGGAGATTGTCAAGATCTTTTTCTCAGTGAAAAAAAAAATCCTCACTACTAAATTTCTCCAGTATGCCTTTGGTGCCTATGTGAGGAGGCAGCAAGGAAATATGTTTTGTTTGGTTAGTTTGTTTCTGTTGTCTTGAGCCTGGGCATAACGCATAATATACATTTGCCAGCAGTGTTCTAAGTAACCATACTGAATAGGTAGCTCTCTTTCCCTTGTTTTAAGTGATGAGAACTCTTCAAAGTGCCATCTTAAATTTGCAATATATACTTACACACTAAACTGAGTATTAACATGTTTTCGTAAGTGTGGTTACAATTGAATTTGAAAAAGAGTAAACATATCGAGTACTTTTAATGGATGGCTTTTTACAATTTGCATTTTTATATTTGATTTCCAGCTTCTTTCCTAAGTATTATATATTCTGAACATAGTTCTGTAAATACTAAAGAGCTTCCTGGAAGCTGCTTGTGTAAGGACTGCTGAAAAATGTCAGTTTATACATATTGAAGATAATTTTCTATATCTTCTTTTAATGCATTAAAAGATTAAAATGAAGATTCTGGAGAGCTATATGTATGAATTAGTGAATATTTAACCCTTTGTGGAAGATAGTTGTTATGATAAATATTATTAGTATGAAATTAGACAAATAAGAATAAGAGCATGGTGACCCTGTATAGGCCCCATTAACTCACAGGCTTTATTCACACTTGGTTATATCTTGTCTATTGTTTTTTTATTATTTATATTACCTGTAAGTCTTTTAAATTGGAGAAATGATTTTTAAGATTGCTGAGTATTTTCTATAAGGGAAGATACATGATATAAGTGGTGTAATTTGTGTAATAAGCACATTTATATATTTAAAACTGTAAGTCAACTTCAGATGATTCCATTTTACCTTTTGTCTTTATCATGCCCAGTAGTATATGTAATCTTAATATTATCTGTTTCTAAATAATCATGATATTTCTGCTGATACTATATATTTTAGGCAAAATCTTTATGTTTAAATTTTTCTAAGGGTATCTAAGAATGGTTACAACCAAGAAGAGTGTTCACTTTGTGAAATGCTTAAATATCATTGTTTTGACAGACCCAGATACTCATTTGTTTATAAATTGGCTGGGTTAACATTATGTGCATAACCCCAAACTAGAAAGTCATCAGTAGCTTTCATACTTGCAGCTTTCTCTGAGAGGAGGAGTATCCATAATAATTTGGAGATGTACAGAGTCTTCAAGGTCATATAATCTAATTTCTTTTTATTTTTCATAAATGAAAAAACAGGATCAGATATATTAAATACATGCTTTTAAAGCATCTTATTTATCTGTATTAACTTATTTCATACTGTCTCATGAACATACCACTTACATCAAGGTAAAATAGAAAATAAAATTTGTGGATCCTTTTCTGATAAAGAAATTTCTTTTATTAGTAATTTTATTGACCTGGTTTACCTGTCTGATTTGAGTCTTTTAACATCCCATTTGTATTATCAAATATTCTTTGGCTAAAATTCTACTTCTTTAAAAAATTAGGTTTGGTTTCAAAATCGAAGGGCCAAGTGGAGGAAAAGAGAACGTTATGGCCAAATACAACAAGCCAAAAGCCATTTTGCTGCCACCTATGATATATCAGTTTTGCCAAGGACTGACAGCTATCCACAGGTATGGTAAAGTGCATGAAATACCAATCAAGGAAAATGGATGTGGTGTGTATACTCTTAACAGGGCTTGTATAGACTTTATTATATCTAATAGTTAGGAATGAAAATTTTAAGCTCCAGAAGACTTTTTTCATGTTTTTTAGATTTTTATTTCCCCAAAATATTTATTTTGTTTTTATTATCTTTCAGAGCCATTCTTTTAAACATATTTCAGGCTCTCTTCCTTGGTATACACTGCAACAACTAAAGTAGCACCATTCAATAGAATATGTTTGTCAATTACTCTGCATTTTAATTATTCAGAATTACCTCCCTTGTTAACTTTTAAAAATATATTAAAAATTGTTTGCCACTGCTCACTCTGTGGCTAATGTTTTATGACTCATCCATACATAACCTAGTGTCAAATGTAGGATATGAAACCTTTATTCCACGTAAAAATAATGTATCTTTCTATGTTGTCTTTTCAGCTTTGAAGTTTCTCACTGTTTTAAGGAAACATTTAGCCCTTTGTTTCTTAAAATGTATATAGAAGTAGTACTGGTTATAATTTTAAATATTTATAATGTTAAACGCATCTCTTTATAATGGGAACTCTCATTTCACAGAATAGAATTTTTTCTTCTAATTTTTCCTTTTAATTTAGAGATTTTTTTATTTTTCATACTTTCTAATGCATGTAAATAAAACATATTTTTGTCTATTTAAATGAGTATTACTTTTTCCTAATACTGAATTATCAATAACTGTATTTGGCACATGATTAGGGACACACAAGGAACAAGCCATGTGCTATTTCATTCTTCATTGTTTAATGCTATGCATTGTAAGAGACCACTGTGATAACCAATATGTAACATCTTTGTCGGTGGAATATCTTGACAGTCCAGTAGCCAAATTATCACAGCCCCGAACTTAAGGTATTCGTTTTCTTCAACTACAAATTCATACCCTGTTAGCGTGAATCCAGTCCTTTATTTTTGTCTATTTTTGGCTTCTGATACCTTTTTGACCCTTAAAAACCTATCTTGAGACCTTCACTCCTCCAGATAAATTCACCAGATTTATTCATGTAATATTATATGTGAACAAAAAAGCCTTAGAGATTACCTTGTTCTACTTCATTTTAGAAGTCAGGAAACCAGAGCCAGGTGAGCTAAGGAATTGTTCTGTGATCACACAAGTAGTTCCTTAAAGGTGAGTGTCTAAGGGCGGCTGTGGCTTAGCCTTGCACTGCAGTTTGCTAGAAGACAAAACGTTAGGGGTACCTTCTGAATAAATGCCACACCTGCCTTAAGTAGAATCTTGTGTCTCTTACTTTTAAAAGTTCATCTTAAAGTAGTTTCCTTATTTTTTCTCTTGTTTAAAAGCATGTATACACTCCTGGTTACTTATTATCATAGAGCTAATGAAATTTACTCACCAAATAGTTTTGTGCTTTGTAGGTAAGTTCCCAACCCCCCTTGCCCTCCCCTGCCCCGCCCCGCCCTGTTCCCCCGCCCCCAGTTCTAAACAGAGGGCTATCAGGCTGTTTCCCCCCTAGGCTATAAGCTCCAGGAGATCCGGCCTTGCAGTGTTTTCACGGAGAAGCTGGGGACACTGCATTAGCTGTTACTATTTTAGGCACTGTTCTAAGCAGGTTGTGAATATTAATGCATGTAATCCTCACAGCAGCCTTATGTAGTATGTGTTACTAATTATTCCCATGTTTCATATGAGGAAACTGAGGCACAGAGAGATGAGATATTTACTCACTTTCACTAGAGGTGAAGCCTGGATTTGACCAGAGGCATTTTAGCTACCAAGTGCAAGATTTTAACCCTTAATACAGGCTGCCCCAGCATTTATGTTTAAATAATTGAATGATTAACAAATTCATACCACAGGAGCACACAGCTTAAATTGCATTATTTGAGTCTGAAGTTTAGTTAAGGAGAGAATAAAATGTAGTCACAGCCAGTGAAATAAAAATAAAAGTAATGGACATAGCATGTACATTATATAATTTTGTACTAGTTGACTATGGTGACTTTAGAAATATTAAGTCATAAATTGTGAACTCTTTTCAAATTGACTTTAACTAGTCTGATAAGTTTATCCCACAACACTTGATTATATCTTTTTTTGTACCTTGTTATTTTAGTCTTCATTCCATTTCCTGTAAACCCCATTTCTGCCTATTTTTTACTCCTGTTTCTTGCTTTTGGTTGCATTATCTCTAACTCCTCTTTCTTCTTCAGCATAACATAAAACATTTATAACAGTGCAGGGCACCAATTAACCTCTTTATGATGGCTTAATTTAACTTAATATACCCTGACTAGGTGCCCTTTTCAGTAGGGTTATCTTGCCATTTTATTATTGTGTCGCATAGCTTTAGATATTAACAATTAGCTGGATGAGGCGAACTAGCAGCTCAAACAAGAAAGGAAAATTATACAAATTATACATTTGACAGTCTTTTTCACTCCAGCAAAGAACTAGTTTAAAATTTCCCCTCGCAAATCACAGGAATTTTGCACGAATTCTCCCCGTGGCTTCTCATTAATTCATGTACATTGGTTATATCACCTCATAATTTAAGTATGGCAGCGTGGTGATCATATGTTGAAGTTATTTTGACAGTGCAATTTCTGAACAAAAACAGAAATCAATACTATAAAATCCATAGTGCGTTTCTATATTGGTAGATCATTTAATGTTTGGCTGCCCAAAATTTTGAAATCAAATGTCTCTCACTCCCCACTGTAGGTATTGGAGACAGTTAGGGGAAGTTTTGTTTTAACTTAAAAATTAAAAATGTGTGGTTTATTTTTTAGTTTGTTTAAAAAATAGTTATGACAAGATCATGTCTCCATGCTTCAGCCTAAAGGAAATTTGTTTTTTTATCATGTGGTTTGAAAATAGAAATGTGTCATGGGAAAAATAGAAACCAAAATAGAATGATAAAAGCCAAAATTGCTAATTATAGAAAAAGGTATTAATTACAAAAGCAGTTGGGAACTAAAAAAATTTTGGAGGCAGGACAGAAATAAAGAATTAGCACTTGGGCAGGAAAGCAAAGGCATCTCAGAGATATATGAAAGACATAGGTGCTTTAGAAAATGATCCCCTCAAGCCTGCTCAGTTTGGATAATAATTTTACTTAGCATAAAGGTATATATATATATATAACATATAATGGGTTTACTTGTGGAGAGTAATTCATATTTTCTAAAATGTTCTGAATACTTTGTTTCCACTGGTCTTCATTGCACTACAGCAACAACAGCCATAACAGTAAAAGTAATAACTACCAGTTGAGGGCTTATTTTAAGCCAGGCTTTCTTCTTATAGCCATTAACTCATTGAATTCGAGCCCAGGATTTCTGAGTTCTGGAGTCCAGGGTATTTTCTGTAACATTATCTCTGTAGTGTACCATTGAACAATGAAATAGTTAACTCTTGACTCTAAAACATCAAATTACTTTGGAAAGCCAAAACACTTTTCTTTCTAAATTTATAAAGTAACAATGTAAAGCATTTAAAAAAGCTTTAGACCTTTTTCATATATTGTTTTTCTTCAGCTTACTCATATTTGATGGCAAAGAAATAATAAGAAAGTGAGTGGTGTCATGTCAGTAATAAAATACCTTAAGGTAGTACTGAAAAATAGTATTTTTTAAAAAACCCTTTATTTCAGTTCACAATATCACTTGCCATTCAACAACACTGCGATTTAGGTAAATTGAACTACGTGATCTTTTCCAACAGATCACTTTTTAAAAACCTGTCTAGTTCCTTGTGCTAAATCTGTTCCCTGTATCTTGGATTCCTTTCCCCTCAACTAACCCCCATTTCCTCCATGAAACCCCTTCTCAACCCTTCTGTAATCAGCACATCACTTTCCTCACTGACACTGTGATGGGTTGTATACAATGTCTGCCACCCAGTTTACTATATAAAGTATTTAAAAAGATGACTGAATTCTTACCTTTGTATCACAACAGTATTAATCAAATTATACAGGAGTGGACGAAAGCAGGTTCACAGATGTAATACAAATAAATAATACAATAATTTATAAATAATAACCCAAAATATATCCACAGCTATAAACCTACTTTTGCCAGCCCTTGTCTATACACTGGATAGATAGATGTTTCACTTCAGTATTTATCCAGGAGTACGTTATAAACTTAAAGTGAATCAATTTTGAATAAAACAGTTGATTTCTTGAATTTCTGCTGTTATCCAGCTCTGTGATCTTAAGCAATTAGCTTTTCCTTTTTGATCCTCAATTTCCTCTCTGCTAAAAGGGATAGACTAGAAAGATTTTGCAGAATCCCCTTTTCCTCCAAAGTTATTTGCATTTTATCCAGTAAATAGAGTGTGTGTAGTACTGTTTTGTGCATGGGGGTTACACAAATGATCCAGACAAAATCTCCTGCTTTGTGGACAGATTACAAACTAGGTGATATTTGTACCAAATTCTTTAAACACTTCTTGATGCAAACTAGACCCAGTAAACCAAAAGACCTTTGCCCTTGAGCTGAAAAGGGAAGAAAGCATCTATCAACATTAGATTCTAATTTGTTTCTAATTTATCCAAACTAAAGCATTTTTAAAATAACTATTCTGATGAATATATTGGTGAGTAATATGTTTTGTTAAGGTATAAAAATTTCTGGAAGATTATAATTGACCTTCATTCTTACAAGAAACTCTAATTTTATACCCTTAGATTTGCTTTGGATTAACTGTGCATTATCTTGTTCATTTACTAGCTGGGAAACTTTAGATAAGTCTCTTTACATCCTTAATCTTCAGATTCTTTATTTTGTAAAATTGTTAGTGCTAGGGGTTTTTGTGGTGGTGCTATAGATGATAATGAGCATCATTATCATCAAGTTTTTTTTCTCTTATTGAGAGTATTAGGTTGATTTACAGTCTACTGAGCTAAATCCTGAGAATTGATGAGAGCCAGGAGTTAATGTATAACTATGGGCCTCATAGAGAATA